GGTCAGAGTAACAGGACTACACTGGAAAACAGGCCGATCTCCAGCAGCTTAAAACATTCCTTTTTGATAAAGCTTTTACTCAGAGTAGCTTGGATTATCCTGACCTATCTATACGGTACATAAGCTGTTATAGGCTTAAACTGTTGGAAGACACAGGGAACACATTTAGTCATTCTGTTTAATTTTCTCTTTTTTCCAGTTTTGCTGTCTTTGTTAATGCAACCTCTAACTTTATGTTCTCTTTGCTTGTTCTCAAGTAAGTACAGTAGTTTCATCTGGTCTCAGATTTTACTATGAATTTTCCACCTTGACATGACCTTTGACATGAAAACTGGCCCAGGGCTAATCTTCCTAACTGTTTCTTTCTCAGACAGAGACAACTATGGAGCTAGTTTACCATTAACCTTTCTACTATGTTCGAAAAGGTAATGATGCTTCTATGTTTGTTTTTTATATCTGCTTCTGTCTCCTCAAACCCCAATTGACCTCAGCGAAAGGCTGCTCACACTGAGCCTGGTTCTGCTGGAGGATTCTTTCTGTTAAACGGAATGAGTCGATTTAATCAGCTGCCTTTCCAAAGATAGAATTAAATTTTTTTTTTTTTTATCAATCTAAATGAATATGATTGGATTTTCTCTGTAAGATGCCTAGAGATTACTTGTGTTTTGAATTAATTGGTGAATATATGAACAGACTTATTCATTTCAGTTCAACTGAATTGAACTAAAATGAATTGAAAAGATAAGAAATGGAAAGGTCATGAAAGCTGTACAAAATGAAGTTTAATTTTGTGTACACTCTGTGTATACAAAATGACAATAAAAGTTGTCTATGTCTAAGAGTCATTGTCAGCCTGGAAGTCATGCATAGGGAATTAGTCAGATGTTTCCAGATGGGCTTGAAGAAAGAGGAATACAGGAGAGAGAATCTATAACAGGAGCCACCTTAGCGGTTAGAGGTTTCCTAAACTCCGGGGACAGGAGGCAGATCTGTAGTCTAGGTTTGGGTCATGCACGATAAACAGGGAAATCCAGAAAGGGTCATAAGGCAATGTAAAAGGTTGATGTCCAGAGATAAGAAGCAAACAGGAGTGTCTGGCTGGGGCAAGACAGTCAAGATAAAATGTGAACAGCACAGTTCAAGATCAGGAGGTCTAAAGAAGGAATGCTGTAAGGTCTACTCAC